CTGTCTGTGTCTGTGTCTTTGTCTGTGTCTTTGTCTGTGTCTTTGTCTGTGTGCATATGTATGCATGCGTATGTATATGTTTTACTGCCACTCGTGTTCGTTATATGGAACTGTTACGTATGGCTGTGTGCTGAATTCGGAGACTATCAGGGCAGTGTACAAATGCACTGAGGAACGCTGCAAGAGCAGGAATTTGATTTTGTGACTGTGATGTGTACGCGTATATTTGAAAAGTCTGTCGATACCTTCACATACTCTATTTTTAGCGGTATTTTGCATTGCTATATGCAATAACGTATGTGTCTATATCTGATGGCTATGTTCTGCAACTGGCATCAACAGACTGGATGATTACACCATGCGACCTGACTCGGACTCCAGCACCGCATTAAACAGCTCAGATACGGAGACACAGAGCGGAAGTGAAACCGAAACCGAAACCGAAAGCGGGAGCGAAACAGAAGAGGAAAGCGAAGGAGGTAGCAGCGGCAGCACAGCTCTATACATGGCCATTGACACACAATCACGCGCGCACGACAACCACGCACACACGCACACGCACGACGTACCAACACACCGGCATACGTGTGGACGCTTAATCAAAGAATGTACGCCTATGCGGCCAGATGTACGTGGAGATGGCGCCAGACTGACGCGCAGGCACAGCCAGAAGGAGATAGATATGGTCACACACTCCAACACGAAGTCTAACCGGAACGCACATGTGCACGCTCACGCATGTAAGAAACCGGAACGCACATGTACACACAGATGTAAGAAACTTCCCCCGGCTGTACCTACCCTACTCTCCGCTAGGATGTCGCCCGAGCATAACAGCGTCGGTAGCGAGTTAAATACGGATGAGTCTGACCATGACGAAGGTGCTGTGCGTGTACATATCGCTGAGGATGCGGAGAAGGAGAAGCATGATAAGGACGTGGATGAGGAGAAGCATAAACATGATAAGGATGTGGATGAGGAGAAGCATAAACATGATAAGGATGTGGATGAGGCGAAGGATGGCTTACGAGGTTATTCAGGCACAACGAAGAGCGAAAATGAGAGTGAGAGTGCGCGCGACTATGCGAGTGAGACGGAGGGTGTGCACATATTCGTAGATGGAAGCGATGGCACTACAGACACAGGGAAGCAGGCGGCAAACACTGAGCCACGCAATCGTAGTACACGCAATACACCTGTGTGTACGCGCATGGATACGACAAGTATTGTTGCAGAGATCGATACTTCTCAGTCAAGTGCACAGTCAACAGAAAGTCCGTTGAGAACAAGCACCAGCCCAGCTCCACTACATCGACGCGCACGCTCAGTCACATTCTCGCCCGAGGTTCTCCAGGAGGTGGCGGGAGACAGTAAAAGCCCTGTATCGGTGATTAAACCGTCACTTGTGCTGAATACGTCACCCGTAGTAGTAGAAAATGAACCAATAACGTATCCTGGACGGGGTACAACTCTGCTTGGGCGATCACGGAGTACAGAAGAACGCGGAATAACATGCCGTGCGTGTGGGGCTGAATGTGACAGTACGGGACGCGCGAAGTCGCTATCGCCACCGCCCCCACGCGCACACACACGTATGAAGGTATATCCACGGACAAGCACTCACACACACGGGCATGGAAGTGATAGGACACCTGCATACATGGACAAGCAAAGGCACGCTCGTAAACAGCACAGATCAAATGTGGGAGATAACGGGGGTGGGTTTTCTAATCCTGACGGCTGTGCTGTATGTGATATGGGCGTTGCCATGGCACCACACGCCGCCTCAGACACACTCAGCCCTCCAAACACGCCGCTACACACCGCCTCTGGTACGCGTTCGCGTTCACATTCACGTTCACGTTCGCGTTCGTGTTCGCGTTCGCGTTCGTGTTCGCGTTCGCGCTCATGCTCGGAATCCGTGTCACGCTCTAGATCACCACCCTGTGCATGTACGTGTGAGTGTCAGCAACACTCTCCTTCAGCTGCACCGTTGAGGCCACGCACGTGCAATACGGCGTCCACATGTACACCCAACCACAGACACACCTCTGTATCCCCTCCTTTTATGTCGCGAACACCCGCACAGGCACAGGTACAGGCACTTACTCGTTCATTTAGGGAGACTACGACGCCAACTGCTGCCATCACACCCATGAGAAGCCAAATAGCGCCAAGCACTCCCAGGTCGGCAAAGTTTGATACACCTACAACTCCTCACAGCAGCTCGAGTACCGGTCAGAAAACTGGGTCTGCAAGGGGGTCTGCAATCTTCAACAAAACCAGGAGCCTGGAACGGCAGCGCAGTAAGTCGCCGAGTGTTGCGGTCGTGAGGTTTACGGAGAACGCACCAGAGATTAAATACTTTGATAAGGATGTCCACAGCGAGAAAATGGACAGCTTCCTGGCGACAGATGGGTGTGAGGATACTCGTGGGGAGGCGGATGGGCCTGGTCGAATAGCTGGACGAAAAGATGCAAAAGACACGGGCGGTGGTAAGTGCAATGATACCCAATTGCCTGAACAGAGAGGGGTCGGGAACTCCAGCCCACACACTGAACTGTGTGGGCGTGACAATGGAGGCAAGGCAGGTACCAGTACACCGACAGAGAGAGGCAGTGCTACAGCGAACGAAAGCAGCACTCTATTCGCGTTTAACGCAGGAGCGTTTACGTACAATCCAGCAGATGCATCCACTCAGCACGAGTTGGGTCGACCGCGTGCGTCGCATTTTGCGGAGGGGGTGTCGAATTTGGGACTATCATGGGCGAGTATGCCCAGCCATGTCTTTGGCACTGACAGCCCTATTGCCAGCGAAGATGCAAACGAGGACTTGGATAGGGGGAGTGGGGATGCAGTTGGTAAGAAAGATATGATAGAGGACGCAAGCACATGAACTGTCACTCAATGCAGGATACCAATTTTGCACTATTTCATCAGCATGGGTTTAGATGGAGTGCCCTGGTGTACTTGAAGATAGCTCGACCTCCGTATACAACCTCAGGGCTCTAAAAATCTGAGTACTATTCAGAGTGATACATGGTTAGTACGAGCATATTTCGCACTAGATGAAAACTCGTAACTATCGATTCAGAACATTGAAAGAATGGCGGCACTAAACGAGAAAGTACAATTGACAACCCAAGCGATATGTATGCTGCTTCAGTGTGGAGGTCGCACGAGGACGTAGTATGCTCAAGTGAATACTATGCTCGTCATGAGATGCCCACCGAACCGGTTGGAGGGAAGTGGAAGGCTTTGGAATTGAGTGAGGGGCTGTATCGTGGGAAACAAGGAAGGCCTGTGCGATTCGTGGGGTTTTGTTGTGCAGTGTGTTCGTTTAAACATTATGTGCATCGTGTGATATGCAAACGACTGCCACTCTCAAGGACCTGATAACCTGAAACCGTCAAAGACAGTGGACGTGTTGAGATGCAAAGACCGTGGTTTTGGTTTCGTATTTTCAGATTCGTCTGGGTACACGAAAATGATGTATATGTCGAAATTCACGGTTTTAACAGTAGAGAGTTGTAAGGGCCGATTCACACTGCGATTTCATTATATGAACGGTTAATGCTGGTAGAAGCTTATTAAATGCTATCAACAGGGACACATTTCAAATAGAATTATATTTCCCTTAGAATGAGCTTTGCAATACTTACACAATGAACTTTCGATTTAATCCGTTAGAATAGGTTTCACATCACGGCAGCTGTGTTTTAAAGTTTTGAACCGTTTATTATAATTCATCGATGCTTGAATACATGATCTGAAAAAACGCTTTCCCTCCGTGCTAGGCCAGTGGCAATTAGATCACATATTGTGACATAAACGGCATCATCTGTGCAACGCTACTCTCAGTCTCGTCCTTGATATTTACATGTAGACGTTAATCACTCGATTATAAATAGAAATGGTAACGATGTAGATTACATATGCATGCATATATATATATATAGATATATATATATATATGTACATATATATATATATATATATATATATATATATTTAAATATATATATATATATATATATATATATATATATATATATTTATATATATATATATATATATACAAACATACAGACGGACAGACAGACAGACATACATACATACATAAATACATACATATAAATATATATAAATATATATATGTGTTTCCAATATATATATATATGTATTTATGTATATATACATTGCATATATGTATATATATGTATTTACGTATATATACATTGCATATATATATATATATATGTGTGCGTGTGTGTGTGAGTGATATATATATGTAATTATATATAGTGTGTTGTTTGTGCATATATATATATATATATATATATGGTGTATATCTACATAGGTATCCTCACCAGCCTAAAAAATAAGGTAGAAAGCTATGTGTAATAGTTGCCAATGTATATATATATATATATATATATGTTATATATATATATATATATGTTATATATATATATACTCGTAGACAAATAGATGAATAAGAGGCGGCAAATTAAAATATATAGAGTCTTCGGCGCGTGGTTATGGTTTCATTGTTCTCAAACTGTAACACTTTGGGCATTTGGCTTGTCATACATGCGTGAACGCATGCTCAATATTAGACGAACACAAGACATGTCACTATAGAGAAAAGGTAGGAGACTGTATCTATTAATGCTTTGATTGTATTTATAAAGGTATGCATGGATTTATCATTTATGTGTATACCTATACGTAATTGCGTTGGTTAGGTTTGCTCGCGGAGCCAGCCAAATAGTTTATGACTGCTTCGTACCCAAGGGACCCAACTCTCGTTCGCGCCCATTCTGCATAATTCAGACAGGTATGTAACTATGTACGCAAGCATGGACGTTGCTGCCATACAAGCAGCAATTTTGTGACAAAACCTTAGACTTTTCATTCATACATAGTTGAATCTCGCTACTTACCATGGTGCCCGTACGTCATTCTTACTATGATATTCTTCGAGACAGTTTTTGTTATAGTCGTCGCGACTCGCAGCCTCGGTGACCTCGGGCTCGCAGTTTCGCACAGCAATAAATTTATAAAAAATATTGTTCAATAGATTTAGGAGGCTATGAAAAATACTCTAAAAAATCGCCAAATAAGATTACCCTAACTATGAACTATTGTATCTACCCTTTTTATATCTCCTTTTTTATAGAAGGCTATGCCAGAGAAGACCGGCCCGATCCTTTTAGAAAAAGTAAAATTTGTACCCGGATATTATTTACATACCCTATGAATTACCTATGTTTTAGTCCTAAAGAACTCTCACGGGTGGGCCCTGCGGCCTATGCCACTCCAATACAAAAATCCCAGATCTCCCTCTCTGTATTAGTGTATTAGTCTCTGAGACTTGAGAGAGTCCATATTTTTTAATAAATTGCCAAAGAACTACATAGTTGAGCCCGAATAAATACCGATGATGTTTTAGAGCAGTATTCATTGGGTACTATTTATATATTTAACATAATGTCTATGACGGCATGTGTTTTCCATAGTGTCGGCTGTCAACTACCTGTCAAAAATCGGCTGTTGACATCTACCATCTAAAAATATATCTAACCACAGGTACACGCACCAGGCAATAGTAGGGCGAACCACGGAACTGGTTCACAACTTCACGGTTGCGCTAATAGAATAAATTTGTGCGTCCTCCAAAAAGCCCCGAAGCTCGAAGTGATGAATTGGCCTATAGAGTGCAACGGGGGAAACTGGAAAGTAAATATGCTTTTTGTGTATGTGGTTGTATAATGATATATATTTGACAGCGTATGGAGCGTGGTCTGTAGACATGTATGCATTGTTTACTACGAACTGTACTTATGTTTTAATTTACAATAGCAAACACTCGTCTTCTCTTCTGTTCAACCGCACCCGTAACCCTTGCACCGTCCCCTGTAACCCGTATAGTTAGTCGCGATATAAATTCATTCACATACAGTCAGAATGTTGATGTCCGATAGCCCCATCTGCCTGTGGCCTCAGTGCAACGAGTTGTTCATGTGCGTCGAAGATCTCATCCAACATGTCGAGGAAGAGCATGTTATGAGCGATAAAAAGTCATCTATTGACACCGCATTCGACCTGCAGCGTCTGGACTCTGGGCTTGAATTAGTACTATCTCCCATTGGATTAGATGCCGCCGTGAGCATAAACGCAGCATCGAACGCGAACGCTACCACGTTCGCGCATACGGCATCGTTGCCCACATGCTTTACACAATCGATGGAGTTGTGTGGAACTAATTCTAATGTTGGTAATAGTTATAGTAATTTAAGTACGGGGTATGTAACCGCTAGGAGTGTTGATTTGGATTCCCCTGTCTCGCGGTTCATCCACATGTCGCATGTGAGCCCCTACTTCACGGACGAGGAAAGAGCTGTGCGACGTAAACAACAGGAGGTGTGTAATTTATTTAAAGTGTCGTTGAGAACCTTATTATTGCTGTGTGTTTTTTTCCTTTGTACAATGAGCTGTTTTGTTGTGTGCGATAAACTCGACTTCGAAATCTTTCAGAATATTTGTGTGCTACTTTTATGTCAACTGTTTGTTTCGAGTGTCAAAGTAAGTTTATCTTTTCTGAAAAGTTTTCAGGCTGTTCTATTTCGTCTTGTGCAAATTCCAGTCACCTTCGTCTAGCGTATGCGATCGATCGGCATATGCTACACAATTTTGTGATCTAATCGCTTCTGTCTAGACAATTCAATAGAAGCGCATACGAAGCGAGATGCTTCATTCGAAGACGGCTTTGGCTAAATTATAAAAGCTGTATTAGTTGTAGACATGATGTGTCCTCAATTGATTGTCAACCATATGTATAATTTTTTACTTGCTGAGTTTCACAGAGTTGCGGTACGGTGCTTTCGTATCTTTTGTCAATCCACTATAACTTCTCAACGTCCGAGACTACACGCCAATGCTTTTAACATAGCTGTACATACGCATCCCACCTGTACACGCACACATCAAAACTCACACAATACACCTACACGTACATCACTAAACAGTTGTGTCGAAGGCGCCCCATCGGTACCCACGACTCGCTGCTGCTTGACGACGACTTCGCCGATATGGACTTGGACCTGCCACTGAGGAAACGACGCAAATCTTCCGGTGTTGATTCCGCTTATGGATATGATTTGATCGATACACAGCTAGGCTCGCGATCGTTCTCTCCGGCAGACTCGGCCATAGGTAGCCCTATATGTGAGGTACCAGTAAAGACATCTCAGTTCGCCCACTCCAGTACAAAGTCAACAGACGCGTCCACCGCCGTTGTGCCCACCTCCGGTCTACCTGCCTGCTCATGTACACCCACAGCTACCTGCGCTACAACTACTACAAGTGCGACTGTCTGTGAGTATGCCTCTACGGCGACATCCACGTGCTCGTCCACATGCCCGTCCAGATCGAGCACGCCAATCTACTCCGCCCACGAAGACTCTGCGTCTAAAGAAAGTTCGACACAACCGGTGGTCAAAAAATTGGACACCTTCAGCCGGGAAATCATTGCCGCGAGTTCGGCGCAGATCGACCCCAGCGAGAAGAGACCTTACAGGTGTCCCGTGCCTTTGTGCGATAAGCAGTACAAGAATCTTAACGGAATCAAGTACCACTCGCAGCACGGGCACACCAACCTGGTATGTATACATGCATATGTGTGCATGGAGGAGCTAGTGTAAATGGTGTATTCGCAATTTTTATTTTATATGTGGTAGACACTGCGCACGCCCGCATGATTTGGCCTGTGAATATGCCTCTTTGCCTGTGAATGAGCTGTACTTGTCATATTTGTCGTAAATGATATACGAAATATAGCAGTGGTGCACCGCATCAAGCATTACATGGATATCATGACCCGTTCATATGTGATTAACATGCATCATCGAGTACGTGTGGTCTGGGTTTTTCTCATGTATGTACACTCCGAGCCGTATTGCCATCTGTATAATCTATGTACATATATGGGTGTTGTGTATGTACCAACTTACTCACTCGTCGACCATCTTTATTCGTACCACGCGTAGGGTCCAGAGCAGCAAGTGTACCAGTGTCACCTGCAAACAGAGAGCAACCCCATCAACACCCGGTGTAACCATACCGTCCGCAGTTCGGCTAGTATGAAGGAGCACGTGAAGAAGGACCATCCCGCTTTTGTAGAGCGTGTTGGAAGGTGTGTATTTTCTCTATACTTATGATATCGGTCGTTAATTTACGTATGTATGTGTATTTATAGTTACAGTGTTTTAGTAGGGAAATGATTGGAGTGGTGGATCACATATCAGGTGCAGACAAGTCATGCGTGTGTGTTCTCTATGAAAGTACCATGAAGCAAGGATTAACGCTATCTATCTGGCTGAAGTATCCCACACATTGCACGTGCTCACGATTCTTTTATCTACATGACATTGCAGGGAACGCAACCCCCGTCCTTCGGTCAGCAAAGCGTCGACACAGGCACAGAAGGCTACCCTTCCATCCGCGCAGAAGGCCGCTCTCACACAGACTCAGACGCAAGGTCAGACAGCTACCCCGGCTCATGTAGTACACGCACTCGCTTAAGCACGCACGGCCAAGGTGCAGGTATAGCACACCTTGGGTATGTGTGTGTGTGTACGAGACTTGTACACGCGCATTGAGAGCACTTCGGAATATGAGGTACCAGCTGCGAGAGACCCTGTCACAGGGCTGATGTGTCTATTTGCTAGCCAACGGTTTTATGCCTCCAAGTGCTTGGCTTAGTTCAGAACCAACCGCCCTTTTATACACCCTCCACCCCCTGAATGTGTTATGTATATACATATTAGAAGTTTCGACCGGATCGAAGAAAAGACACAAAAACTCGGGGCGTGGATACAAGGTGGGCTCGACAGTTAGAGCAGGGAATTTAAAATAGATATAAGAGTATTCATTTAACCAAGTTAATGAGGTAGATTTAATACTACATACACGTGCACGTCAACAACTTACGTGACCCGATGAAAGTTCAAGGATTGTTAAATTGATATGAATAAAGGACGTAATCGAAATTACAAGCTCAAGAACCCCTAGCAGAACCTACTAAACCATTGCATAGTTCAACTGTTAGAGGAGGCTCTCAACGGATTCCTATGCTGCACAATGAACAATACTTCGGTTGTAATTGTGGATATGAAACTAAACATAGCAACCTGTATATACAAGTTGACCCAACTATAGTATGCGTGCCCAGGCTTAGTTAGAATAGTGCACCATCCGATGCTGTGAAGGTGTATTTGCATTGATTTGTATAACGACCACTCCGTATTTGACAGAAAGGTCACTGCAACATAACTGTTTCGATACACCACGAACACAACTGTCAAGTCCTACTACAGTACACTTTCTTAATACATATGACAAGATGGGGAAACTTTGAAGCGAGGTTGAGGCCAATACATATTGCCGCCCTGAGTGGTCAAACCTGCAGGACAACCGGCGTTTAATGTTAATGCAGAATGTACTAAAAAACGCATACTCGCACGGCTACATGTTGCTCCACAACCAAGCGTTCAGTGTTTTGTCGTCCAGGACCAGACACCCCTTATTCTTCGGCAAGGTGTATGCTACCACCGGTGGGTCTAACATTCCCAGCTGGGTCTGTACCAGATCCATCAGCACAGGGCCATTCACACTATTCAACCCCTTCCCCACCACCACACTGTTCCGTTCTGAGCGCGTCCGGCTCCTTATTCGGTACCCCTTTATTCCGTCATCGTTAATCCGCGCTAGTTCCCGGTTTAGCCACGTGTGCTCCTTGGTCAGCAGCGTGCGTAGCAACCGTCTCACGGCCGCTGTGGCCATGTGGTACGAGTGATGGTGCAAATCCAGGTCCCCCTCGCTCTCGAATACATGCCAGAGATGAGCTGCTTCAGGTATGTGTAATACCATACTATCGTATAACCTATCTACATCAGCCTGCATGTTCCTCTCTTTCGCTAAGGCCTCGATGAGCGCCCCATACGTCCGCACATCCTTCTTCAGCCCCTTAGTGTCCATGTCTAAAAACAGATCCACAGCTTCGGTCCAGTGCACGAGGTTGATCAGACTACTATACGTTCTTGTAGTATGCGCTATGCGCCGCCTATTCATTTCTCGTAGTAACTCGAGCGCCGTGTCCCATTGCATAGCTCTCTCGCACGTAGCGATCGTCTTACTAAACACACCCGTACTATATTGTAGACCTTTGCTCGGCATTTCCCTCAGCAAGCGTAAGGCCTCTTCCCACCGCCCCGCCACCTCACATGCGGATATGACCCCGCTGTATGTCGCTGTCGTAGGTTTTATCCCCACTTTCTGCATGTCGTTCAATAGCTTCACTGCTTCATTCACTTTCCCCAATTGTACACAGGCAACGATGACGTTGTTGTACGTGGTGAGATTCCGTGTGGTCCCAGAATCCCGCATTTCGCTAAGTAAACTATGTGCTTCTGCCCACTTCCCACACTTAGCGTACGCGTATATAACCCAATTGTATGTGTGTATATTTGGATGCATCCTTCTCAGCATCATATGAGCTTCTGAGTACCTCCCTGCACGACTGAATGCAGTTATCATGACCTTGTGAGTGTCGTTATCCCGCTTGACACGATACACGTCCATCTCCTGATAGTAGCTATACGCACTGTCGCAATCGTCTGTGACCCCGTACGATGCAATGACGGTATTGTACACACCAGCACACATGTTCATGCGTGATTTCTTCATGTACGCCAGTACTTCCGCACACCTGCACGGTTGTTTCGCATGCTTGTATATATGCGTAGCATGTATAGCATCTGATTCCAACAATGTTTTTGTACTAAGCAGCTTATCAGCACAATACAACGCAAAGCGTGTGTCGTTGGTTCGTCTGGCTGACTGTGCAATGTGTTTCAACGTCACCGTATAATGTACATGACCTACTTGATGAGATCGTCTCTTATGTTTACGTAGGTGTGCACTTTGACCGTGTGGATGAACCTGTTCCTTGACATATTGTCGCGAAGCTGTTTTTTTCGCACTCAGTGTCTGTGCTGAGTTGGCTTTAACCTGCGATGGAGCTTTTCTTAACATACCAGAATTAGTAGCAGACGGAAGAGTAGTAGATGCTGTCGAATGTTTTAGCCTAGCTATGTGAGGCCTTAACTGTAACACGCCTACATCTGGTCTAACCGTATATCTAATTATGTTTCGGCTCACACTGCCAAACATGCACAACCTCATGACACTCAAACGTACAGGTATTCACATATAGACCCACGCACAACCGCTGCCAACTACAACGCCATAGATCCTATAACAACTCCATTTGTGTGTCGAATACACCCGATGCGAACTCTATTCGCGCGAAGCTAAAGTGTGTTTGTCCTGTGCCCGTTCTCCTTTATATCTACTTCGAGATAGGGTTATGAGTTTTCGTTGGTTCCGAGCAGGAATACCTCATACATAGGTACATACCAACACCTCTAAGCCTCTAAAGGGAACGGGACTCCGGGAGTGATTGTTGAACGATGAGTCGATGACTCATGTGCGCAAAATTATTTCCTTCCAAAATGTACGTATGTACTTATGATTCCAGCAGGCTATGAAAAATAAAGAGTCTATAATAAAAACATCAAAACAATCAACACAAGTGTAAATTGAATACAAATGTAAGCAATATGCATATTTACGACTATATGCGATTCATACTTCCACTTTCTATATCGGTCTTAGTGCGAACTGTGGAGCTGAAGCAGAGGGTTTGCTTCTTCAAACTTGAAATTGGTTTCAATTGTTTACGCACATTCGGTTTCAATTGTTCTTTACGCGTACCCGGTCGTTCTTTACGCGTACCTGCATGTATTCCAATTTTTCAGCACTTTTTTATCTATATAAAAAACACGCGGTCGTGATTAGTGGCTTGTTTTATTTTGTCTTGGAAACTATACCTGTATGGTTCATTCATTGTGTGATGTATTTCTATTTTCTTCATGATCTCGTACGGAACGTAGCAAGTTGTGTTTGATATATTTTCGAGCCCATAAACCCGTGCTTTCCGTGGTAGAATTAGAAGGACACTTGTACATTTATATAAATGCATACCTTATTTTTCAGAAACATGCGTGAGTATATACATATATATATATATATATATATATATATATATATATATATATATATATATATATATATATATATATATATATATATATGTATATATATATGTGTGTGTGTGTGTGTGTGTGTGTGTGTGTGTGTATGTGTGTATGTATGTCCGCTTTTATATATTTATATATATATATATATATATATATATGTGTGTGTCTGTGTCTGTCTCTGTGTCTGTGTCTGTGTATGTATGTGGGGATGTAGTATATATGTATATATGTATAACTATATATATATGTGTGTGTGTCTGTGTCTGTGTGTGTGTGTGTGCGAGGGG